TAGTCAACTGCAGTTTGAGTCCCAGACTCGGTGGCTTAAACTCACGCCCAGCGCATATGCGTGCATACCCAAGATCCCCAGAGGAGAATGGAGGAGAAGGGATTGCAGCGTGGCCATCTCCCTGGGGGGTGATTTCTCCCTTTCTATCTCTCTGTCTCTCTCTGTCTTTCTGGCGAGCGCACACGCCCTGTAGCAAAAACCTCTCAAAAAAAAAAAAGAAAGAAATTCTTGCATAGTCTTTTCATAACATGCATATTCCATAAGCTTTTTGAAGACCTCTAGTATATTTTACATAATCTCCAGTGAGGGAGAAAGTATAATTTAAAGTAAGTGATAAAATGAAAGTTTTAAAGGATCACAAAAATAATATTATGTAGAGTGTTTTGCTTTTAAAGAAAGGTTAGTATCTTTATTAACATGCCTCTGTTGCCAAGTTCTCAGGTGCTCCACAGAAATAAAATAGTCTTTAACATTTTAACATTTTTCCTTTTAAACTGACAGAGTTAATCTGGTCCGTGTCTGTTATGCTTGTCCTTCTTAGCGCAATCAGAAATGAAGTCCCTCGGGGATTGTTTTTGTTTTTAAGATTTTGCCAGAGAATGTACGTACTAGCCAGAGAGCCAGAGATAGAGATAGAGACAGAGAGAAAAGTGAGAGATCACCTCCCAGGGATAATGGCCATGCCACAGTCGCTTCTCCTCTCGGAATTCTGGGCATGCGCACACAGGTCTGGCATGTTTCTCAAGCTTCCAGGTCTGGACTTGGAACTGCACAGCCAGCCATGTGAGATCTAGCTTCCTAACCACCACGCCATGGGTTGGCCTTTTGGGGGGACTTTTTTAAAGCAGTTTTTTACTTTAAAGTAAGTTTAAGCCTAAAGAAGAGATGCAAAATTGGTACTCCCTTAATGTTAACTTCTTTCATAACCGTCATATAATTACCCAAAGCAGAAATTGAAATTGGTGTAACGCATGAACTTAAACTATAGACTTCATTTGGATTTCACCACTTTTTCCACTGATGCCATTCTTGGGTCTGGGATTCAGTCCTGTGGAGCTTTGTTGTCTCTCCTCAGTCCCCTCTAATTTGTGACATCCCCTCAGTCTTGCCTCGTTTTTTGTGATCTGTTACACTGTGGAACAATTACCGGTCAGTATTTTGTAGAGGGCCCCTCAGTTTGGGTTTGTTGATGTTTCCTCATAATTAGGAGAGGCTGTACCTCGGGGTAAGCCACAGGAATGGGGCCACGCCCCCTCGGGGCTCCACTGTAGGAAGGGTTCATGGTGTCCCTAGTCTCCCCAGCAGTACCGACCTTGAGGGCTTGGAGAAGGTGGCATCTGACAGGCTTCACCACCGTAAGGCTTTCCTTTCTGTAACTGGTCATGTCTCAGATACTTGGAGACTCTGCAAATATCCTATTTTTGCTTATACTTTTGCCCATTCATTTTAGTATCTATTGATGGATCTTATATAGAAATACTTTTCCTACGGTGTTTGCCTAATGGCAGTTTTCTATTTCCCTCTTCTACACAATTTTTTTTTTTTTTTTTTTTTGCCATAGGGCACTGGCACCCACCAAGGAGAGGACAGTGAGAGCCTCCAGGTCTGGGACTTGAACTTGGTCAATCATGTGGGAGTCCAGCACAAACCACCAGGCCACCTGCTGGCCCCTAGACTTAGTTTTTAAATTTTATTTATATTTTAAAATAAACTCTCACCCTCTCAGCTTTATTTTATTTTTTTTTAAATTATTTTATTTAACTTTATTTATTTATTTAAATCAGACCATAGAGGGATAGAATGAGAGAAAGGGAGAGAGAGGGACAGTGAGAAAGCAAGTCGCCAGGTCCGAGACTCAAACTGTGATCAGCTCTGTGAGAGTCTAGTGCCCTTAACAACCTTGCCACTTGCCGGCCCCCAGATTTTTGTTTATCCCTTCCACGAGTGAGAGAGACAGAGATAGCCCTCTGACAGGGTCTTGTTGCCGTGATCCACCCCCACCGCCACCCCCAGCCAGCCAGCTCTGATCCTGGGCATGGGTACGCCGTGTACTCAAAGCGGTCTCCAGACATGAACCCAGGACCTTCCCCGGGGCCAGCCTCTCAGGGCACTGTCTCACCAGCGTGCCACCGCTGCCCCACTTCCACGTTCGTTACTCGGGATTCTGTTAATGTTGGGAAAAGCGGCATCTTCTTCCTGATTCATTTAGTTATTCAATGACTTTATGATGTCAGTAGAGACTGAGTTATAATCCAGGATGATAATTAATATCAGTATTTCCTTTCTTGACCAAACTATTCTTTTGTGGTTTTCCAGAAGGAAAAAAGGGGGAGGGAAACCAGTGTAAATCTGTATAGAGCAAGGAGAGAGATTGAGGATAAGAGAATTTACAGAACGAAAGATATTTAAGAGAGAAATATTCAGCAGTAAAAAGATTGATGTAACAGGAAGAAACCTTGAAAACATCATACTGAGTGAAAGAAGTCAGATACAAAGGCCAGTACAAGGGCTAGTAGATGGCGTAATGGCTCCATTGCTGGGCTCTGACATAGGCGACTGTGGTTCAGATCCGGACCCAGCGACTTAAAACTCACACTGGGCACATGGGCATGCGTGCCCAAGATCCTGAGAGGAGAATGGAGGAGAAGGGATTGCAGTGTGGCTATCCTCCCTGGGGGGTGTTTTCTTGTTTCTCTCCATCTCTCTGACTAGTGCATATGTCTCCATAGCAAAATAATCTCTCTTTAAAAAGTCAATGCAGTGTGATTCCATTTGTGTGAAATATGTAGAGCAGGCAAATCTGTAGAGATTAATGGTTGCCAGGGGTTAGGATTGAGTTTTGGATGGAGAAGGACTGCTTAAGGGTTCAGAGATTTCTTTTGGGGGTGATAAAAATGGTCTAAAATTGATTATGGTGACGGTTTCATAATTATGTAAATGCACTAAATAGGAAGAGTTCATGACATGTGAATATTATTTCAGTAAAGTTTTTTAAAAGAAAGACAGAACAAGCATAGTTGTTTGAAAACTTAGAGAGGGCCAGGCCCCTAGTCTAATGGTTAAGGGAATCAGTTCCCATGTGGCCAACCGTGGTTCTAATCCTGGTTCAAGGGGCTTGAAAAAGCTGTGGAGTGTGCATGTGTGTGTGCGTGCGCTCAAAATCCTGATAGGATGGAGAAATGGAGGAGCAGGGATTGTCATGTGACCACAACCCTGCGAGGGTGCTTTCTCTCTCCCCTCCCTCATTTCTCTATCTCTGTTGAGTTTATGCACTCTCTGGCAATTAAATGATAAAAAGCATTTCTGTTGTAGATGGTAGGTAATTAACACTTTGTATATGGGCTATCCTCATTCAGGCAGAAAGTAGAACTATGTATAGAAATACGAAAGCTGAATTATGGCAAGACTAATGTTTCGCTGTTATTTTGAAGCAGTCGGACCCTGGATCATATAATGTACGGCACGGTTAAAATTACATTTAATTTTAAAGAACTAAGTAAACGTGTTCAGTGTAATATATCCCAGGTCATTGATTTCTAAACTGTGTATCCTACTTGTAAATGTGGTGGAGCCCAAATGCTCACCAGCTCAGTTTGTCTCTATAGTGAGACAGGTGTGTGTCGTGTCTGTGAGACTCTTAAGTGTATACCTGCCAGCTAGTGTGGTAAGAATAGTCTGCTTCATGGTTACGAGTGACGTCGAACAGTGACTAGTGAGCGTGTCTGGCTGTGCTGTCTTCTCCTTTTTCCTGATAGCCATAGGAGGCAGGAGAAGACAGAAACGTGCCCTCGTGGGTCTGAGCCATTCTGTTTGTCATGTGGAGGTCAGGTCGAGCTAGGTAAGTAAGACGGATCGTTTGGAACGTCGTCCTTACCTGTGGTTATTAGTTGTTTGGTGTCTTTTTATTGTGGTTATGGTTTCTATAACCTCTTCAAAAGTAAACATTTGGAGCAAGGAGAATAGGAAGTTCTGTGACCTGGTCAGTTAGGCTTCCAGTCCAGACCACACTAACCAGCCATTCACTCTGAGCTCGGAGTCCGACCTGACCCTTCGGCCCCGTGTGCACATCTGTGTGACTGAGGAGACGCAGGGCAGGTCCGACCTCGTCGTGTGACTGTGTTCGGATGCTTTTCTGCTAAGTCGCTGCTAGACTTGCATATTCTTTTGACTTTTCTTTGAAATGAGAACAAATTTTGATCTCGTATTTACTTTCACATGTGTTAAGAGGTAGTGTCCCTGTGTTATGTATTCACTGTTCGTGTCCAGACTTTAAAGGGAAGTTTTAGAGCCCTTGGGTAAACAGTAGGACCGAGGTCGGAAAGCGTCAGCTGCTCTAACTCAGGCTGGCCTGCAGGAGCATTAAGGCTGCTATATGCTGTTAGCGCTCTGAAGATCACTCTGCCCACCTGTCTGTCGCATACCTGTAATACAGCGATCGGTAATTGTTCTTACTTGCTGCTTTTTGCTTTTTGTCTTTAAACCTCTCTGTCCTTTCTGTTCCCAAGGGTGGCACCATCTCTCTGGAGGTCGGCTATAAATATTTGAGAAGTTGGCTGAGGCTTGGTTTGTGGAATGCTCTGTCTTAGAAAGGTGGTTTTGGGGCCTGCAGGTGGCATGGGGGCTACGGGCGCTGGAGTCTCACATGGCCAAACGCGGTTAGAGTTCCAGACCTGGTGGCTTGCCTTCTCTCTTTCACTTTCTCTCTTTCTCTCTCTCTCTCATTCTGTCTCTCTCTGGTCAAATTAAAATAAATAAACAAATAAAGTTAAATAAAAAAAATAATTCTTAAAAAAAATAGAAGGTGGTTTTGATCAGGGTTCTCTGCTGCAGTCAGAGGTACTCAGGAAGACAGGACAGTGGCTGAATCTGCGCCCTCGTGGCGTCCGGCCATGCTGCTCACGTGTGCACCGTGGTGTGGCGGCGTGAGTCTGCCTCAGTAATGCCCTCGTGGGTCTGGCACGAAACGCTATTCATACTGTGTTTTTCCTCGACTTACCCAGGGATCCGGCCCAGCCTCAGGACCGGTGGTGTCACTGAACTCGATGAATGTGGACGCCGTCTGTGAGAAACTGAAGCAAATCGAAGGGCTGGACCAGAGCATGCTGCCTCAGTACTGCGCCACCATCAGAAAGGTGCCGGGGACAGGCTGGGGAGCGGGACAGGACTGCGCAGTGCACGTCTACCCTTAGTGTCTCAAAGACGGCTTCTCGGAGGAGATTGGAAAGCTCCACCTGGACCACGGATCTCACTGTTTGGGATCCCAAAATCGTCTGTGTCTCTTATTTTTATAAATGGATAAAGCAGCAAAGAGGCTGTAGTACAGTGTTACTTAAAAAAATAGTCTAATTTAAGTAAAACAGTACCTCAATGAGAAATACAAACCTCTGAAGGGTTTCACATTTAGGTAAACAGCAGCTCATCTTTCCAAAGTGGGGCAGAGAACGTTCAAAGGCCTTAGTTTATGCTGCTCTCTTTAAATGTGCTAGTGATTTGTGTGACTGAATAATGATCAGGCTCAGTTACACTTGTTCCATCTCCCCGAGTCCTCATTTCTGTGTCCTCTAGGACTTGTGCTCACACTGCATTGGAGGGTACTGTGCAGGTTTGGGTTTGCAGCTCTGGGAGTTTATCCTCCTGAGACCTCTTCCTGCAGCTCTGGGAGCTACCCCAAAGCTGAGTGGGCAGTGACGCCTGAGACGGCAGGCAGAGCTTCCCCACAGGCGTAACCGAGTCCCCATTGTGCTTGGTAATCCCACTACAGTAGGCTTTTTATTTTTTTTTTCAAAGAGATTTTTGCTGTAGGGTGCTTGTGCTCACCAGAGAGACAGAAAGTGAGAAATCAACCCCCAAGGAGGCCAGCCACACCACAATCCGTTCTCCTCCATTCTCCTCTTGGGATTTAGGGCACACATGGATACATGCCCAGCGCGAGTGTTAAGCTGCCGGGTCCAGGACTTGAACCGTAATTGACTACATGGGAGTCCAGTAATGCAACCATTATGCCATCTGTGGGTCCCAGACTTTAAATTTTTTTTTTTTAATTTGCTAGAGGGTGTATGCATTCACCAAAGAGAGACAGAGAGATAGGAAGAGGGAAATTGAGAAAGTGCAACATATGAAAGAGTTATGCCACAGTCCCTTCATTTCTCCTCTCAGGACCTTGGACACACACGCACATGTGCCTGGTGTGTTTTTCAGGCTGCCAAGTCTAGGACTTGAATTGCATAGTGGGCCCCATGGGATCTGGTGCTTTAACTTACTGCACCACTGGCTGGCCCCGCTAGCCTTTCTGTATCAGAGTACTAGTAAAGCAGACCATTATTATTATTATTATTATTATTATTATTATTATTTTGGAGAGGTTTTTTTGCTATAGGGCACGTGCGCTCGCCAGAAAGACAGAGAGAGACAGAGAGACAGAAAGCGAGAAATCACCCCCCAAGTGGGATGGCCACGCCGCAATCCCTTCTCCTTCTTTCTCTTCTCGGGATCTTGGGCACGCATGCACACGTGCCCGGCGTGAGTTTAAGCCACCGGATCCGGGACTCGTACCGTGGTTGACTACGTGGGAGTCCAGCAACATAGCCATTATGCTAACTGCTGGTCCCCAAAGCAGACCATTATTAACAAGCCTAGACTATTTACATACTTTTTTTTTTTTAAGTTTACAGATTTTTCTCTTCTGTGAGTGGGAGACAGAGAGAAAGAGTACCTTCCACAGGGTCCCTATCCCATGATCTCCCCCTCGCCAGCCCAGATCATAGGCATGTGCACGTCTGATATATTCAAGGAGATCTCTGGACCTGCACCCTCCTGTGCGAGTCGGCCCTACAAGGCATTGCATTGTCACTGCTTTGGTCTGGTGCTTCCCCCTTATCAAAGTAGATTTATTTATTGGGGTGATGGCACCCTCAACAAGGTCTTGATGCTGTGATGCACCCCCAGCTTCAGCCAGCCCCAGCTCACGGGCTCATTCCTGCCCAGCATACATAGGGAATTTACATACTTCAAAGAACAACATCTTAAAGAGTTTAGAAAGAATTACGAGAATATCTAGATACCATTTTACCCATCATAGCCCGTGGTCAGTCAGGGAAGTTTCCGTTCCTTGCAGAGCTGTTCCTACTTGTCCTGTCTCCCCCTGGCAGCTGGTTGGTGCCAGCACGGCCTGGGGTCTCTGTCAGGAGCCCATCAGAAGAGTGGCTATCTCCCCACTCAGCCCTCCACCCCCAGCCCGGGCTTTGGAAGCCGTGGTAGCAGCTGGTGCTGAGCAGGCTGCCTTCTGGTGCAGAGCTGCTCCGGCACCTTTTCTGCACAGTAAACTGGGAGACTGACCCCTCTGTCATTTTCAAACAGATATTTCATACTTTTGCCACAGTTTAAAGTCAGGTTTCATATTTTGTAAAATCAGTAAGCTATTAATTAAATGCTCTTGTTTCTTTTTGAGGGACTAGAATTACAGAGACCCAGTAGTGATGATAAGGTATTTTCTGTGACTGTAACAGACTGGGAAATCAGTGGGCGGACACTCACTGGGACTGAAGTTACCCGAGAAACCGGTCAGCTGGCTTGCTCTACTGAGACCTCTGGCAGTGAACGCACTCCGGAGGACAGACAGACACCGGAGAAACCGGTCGGCCGGCTTGCTCCACTGAGACCTCCGGCAGTGAACACACTCCGGAGGACAGACAGACACCCAGACACCAGTGCCCCTTCCGCCTTGTGTTTGTGTTTTCTAAGATTAATGAAGAAAAACTAACAGTCAGTTGTTGCTACTGAGAGAATGGTTTTGGAAACAGCTGAGAGAAGTAACTTTGGGCTTGCTCCCTGAAGAGGGGCTTATATTACTTGAATTCTTTTCTCTTTCTTTCTTTTTTATTTATTTATTTTTTTTTTTTGAGAGAGACATTCTTCCTACAGGGTGCGTGTACTTGCCAGAGACAGAAAGTGAGAAATCACCCCTTGGGGAAATGACCACACCACAATCCCTTCTCCATTCTCTTCTTGGGATCCTGGAGTGTTTTAAGCCATCGGGTTTGGAACTGAACCACAGTTGACTACATGGAAGTTCAGCTTCATAACCATTACACCACCTGCTGGTTCCATGTTACTTGAATTTTTAAGACACTTGTAAAAACATGGAGCGGCTTCCATTGTTCACGTTCAGTGTGTTGTTATGGTACTGTATGGGTGATAATCTTCAAGTCAGGCTATCTAGTCTCTAATGACTTTCTCAAAACTAAATGTAATGGGGAACCAGCAGTTAGTGTAATGGCTATGTCGCGGGACTCCCATGTAGTCGACCGCGGGTCGCGTCCTGGACCCCGTGGCTTAAAACTTACGCCGGGTGCGTGTGCGTGCGTGCCCAAGATCCTGAGAGGAGAATGGAGGAGAAGGGATTGCGGCATGACCATCCCCTCTGGGGGGTGATTTCTCGCTTTCTGTCTCTCTGTCTCTCTCTGTCTGTCTGGCGAGCGCACGCGCCCTACAGCGAAAACCTCTCCAAAAAAAAACCAAAAAACCTAAATGTAACATACTTTCGTCACCGCTAATTCCGACTGGTTCTCATTCTGCTTGTTGTCCTACTCGTTTTTGTTTTCACTCAGGCAAACATAAATGGCCGTGTCCTAGCTCAGTGTAACATCGACGAACTGAAGAAAGAGATGAGTATGAATTTTGGAGACTGGCACCTTTTCAGAAGCACTGTAAGATATTTATAGCATTATGACACTATTGCCATTCATTAAAACAAATCACGTACAACGTTGTATAAAACCAGCACCAATAAGCACTGATTTAGATGATTTTTATTGTATTGAGAACAATCCTTTTTTTTGGTTACCAGAAGGTGTGTGCACGTCCCAGAGGCAGAGCGAGGGAGCGTGGGAGGGAAGCGCCCGCTCTGGGGCATGGCCGTGCCGCACACTACCATCCCTTTCCTCCGTTCCCCGTTGTGTAGGATTTTGAGCATGCACACACGTGCGCCTGGTGTGCTTTTCAATCTGTTGAGGTTGGGATTCAGACCCTGCTGGCCATATGGTCTCCCTTGGCCTCTAGGCTACATGCCGGCCCTTAGAATTGTTTTAAACTACGTTTTATACTTACATATGTACAGCGTTGTGTTACGGGGAGTACGCACACCAGCACTTGGCAACCTTTGTGTTTTGGGGCATTTCAACCAGAAGTTTGGGGAAGAGGCTACCTGGCGGTTCTCCATGCTTTCACTTGGCAAAGACTCTCCTTGACTTAGCTCTGGTCAGGCTCCGCAGAGCCCTCGAGGCCTCTGGCCGTTAGCATCTGTCCTTACCAGACTCACAGAGCCCAGTTTTAGCAAGAATCCTGTAAAGTCAGCTAGAAAGAGCCTCGACCCTAAATACGTGATAACCCTCAATATTTGATCAAATTTCTCGTCCCCCAGAGGAGTTCTGATTCCCCAGCCTGCCTTAAGCAAGAATCCTGTCAGGTCGGGTTAGTCAGAACCCACCTCCACTCCCTACCCCTTGCCCCTGACGCTTCCTGTTAGAATTCTTCACCCACTGACTTCTGCCAGTTCCTTGGCTATAAACCCTCATTCTTCCTTTTTGTATTTGGAGGGGAGCCCAGTCTCTACTGAGGTTCCCTCACCACGGAAGTTCGTGATTAAAGTTCGTTTTTACTGCTCAGACCACTGCTGCCCAGTTCTGATTTTCTTTTTTTTAAAAATCAATTTATTTAAAAAATATTTATTATTATTATTATTATTTGTATTTTTAATTTGACCAGAGAAAGACAAAGACAGAGAGAGGGAAAATGAGAAAGCAAGCCGTCAGGTCCAGGACTTGAACTGTGGTCATCCATGTCGGAGTTCAGCATCTTTAACCACCACGCCACCTTCCAGCCCCAGTTCTGGTTTTCTCTGATGCACTCTAGCTGGATTTTGTTTTGTCCCAAGTTAAGTTTAAGCTGAAATAGTAATATAATGTGTAAATTAGAGTGTCATGTATGCACGTGGCTGTTTCTGCCATTGCTTTTTTAGTGTCAGTTAAAATCGAAGCTACATAGTACGAGTTTAGTGGACGTTCACTTACAGGAAGTATGCTTTCTCTTTTCCATTGTGAAAACTGTGTCGTGATTTATATTTTAAAACTATTTCTAAATATTCTGAAATGTGGTTTGTCAATGTAAACATTTATGATCTTTCTGTCTTCTTGAAGGTACTAGAAATGAGAAACGCAGAAAACCAGGTGGTCCCTGAAGACCCACGCTTCCTGAGTGAGAACAGCAGCGCCCCGGCTCCTCATGGGGAGTCAGCTCGTCGGTCCTCGCACAATGAGCTGCCTCACACCGAGCTTTCTAGCACTACACGCTGAACTTCAGCTTTGAGGAGCTGAATACGCTGGGCCTGGACGAAGGTGCCCCACGCCACAGCAATCTCAGCTGGCAGGTACTTGTGGATGGCATTTTTACCGTACTGAAGAACAGGGCAGTATTTAATTCACTGAGCATGTCAGTGCCTTCATACAGTCACTCAGAAAACGCTAAGTGAGGACCCGAGTGGCCAGGATGGAGGACTCCCTGCAGTCAAGGAGCTGTATTCATCTGGAGAGGGGTGGTCAGTGAGGTGCAGGACAAGGCGGGATTAGCTCAGAAGTCAACGGGGCCGTGGGAACACTGGCATAGGGCAATGGCTGAGGGAGTAAGCAGGAGCCAGTCTGCTGTAGTTCATGTGGTTTGCAAATTCAGCCTTTCACTCACCAGATTTTCCTGTTAAATCCAGTAAACACATCCTCATTGGAAAACCTGCCATGCGTTACTGACCCCTGTGAGCCCTGTAATCCAGGTTTTGAGTACGTGGACTCTCTCTCTCTCTCTTTTTTTTTTTTTTTTTTTTTTTTTAAGGTTTTTGCCATAGGGCACATGTGCTTGCTAGAGAGACACTGAGAGAGGGAAAATGAGAATTCACCCCCCTGGGGAGATGGCCACGCCGCCATCCCTCCTCCATTCTCTTCCTGGGATTTTGGGCACACACACATGCACACACATGCACACACACACACACACACGTCTAGTTTGATGTTCAGGCTACCAGGTCTGGGACTGAACTGCAGTCATCCATGTGGGAGGCTAGCACTTAGCCACCTGCCACCTGCTGGCCCCACATATGTGCCACATGTAAGCGAGCGCTTCCTGTGGGCATTCCTAAGAGAGGGAGGTCGGGTGAGGAGCAGGACAGAACCAGTGAAAGGCTCGTGGTGAGGAGTGTGGAAAAGAAGGAAAATAATAAGGAGGGAAACAGCTGGGTGGGTACAAGAGAGGGGCAGATAGTAAGCACCAAAGAAAGCCCATGCTGAACAGGCCGTGAGCAGCAGCGCGGGGGAGAAGGTGTACCGAAGAGACCTACCCTTTTGAAGGATGTTTTGTTAGTCAGATTTTTTGTTGTTGTTACTATCTTTTTCTCCATACTTTCTACCTTACTTATTTAAGTTGGGAAACCATTTATTATTGGTATCGACTATGTAAGAGAAAAATGACTTAGTTTACAGTGAGCCAAGTCCATATGTGGCCCTTTTGTCTGTATTTCAGCAGCAAGAGTTCCTTTCTTTCTCCAGCGTGTCTTTGAATGCTTCCTAAGAAATCTTTGTCCTCAGCCTCCCTATTCCTAGTACTCCCGACTGTGACCTGCGTTTCTGACCTTCCTGCAGTGCAGTGCGTCTCAAAGTTACCTTTACTCCCAGGCGCCCTGACACTCTGACATCATTTGGATGCCAAAGGACTCGGCTTATATAAGTTTTACTAGTGATATTTACTATATTAGAAATAAAAACTCAAAGTAAATATTTATTCACTTATTTAAAAATGAACCGATTATGCGCTGACATAAAGGACATTGAGCGCGTTGTGCGGTGCGGGCTTTGTCAGCACGTTCCTGCTGCCTGTCATCATCCCGCATCGTGGAGCTCCTGGGAAGGCCACTGACCACACTTGCGAGAACGGAGGTGGCAAAGGCAGATAACATCCTCGTGTTCCCGTGAACACGGCCTAGAACTGTAGGTCCCCTGGACGGGGGGCTCACACCACATTTGGAGACGGCTGTGCTAATGAGGATGGCACTGGCCTCGCAGTCTGAGTTCGACCCCCCAAAATCTTCACAAGAAGACAGAGCCCTTTCTCTCTGTGGAAGGAAGACCTGGCTTTGCTTGTGTTTCTCAGTGTCAGCCTTTGCTCTTGTCCTTTCTGGGACATTCTTGACCCTTTTTCTTCCATTTCCCTCTTCTCTTTCCTCGTCTGTACTTTTTATTCCTTGTTTACTAAACTTCCCTAGGATCTAAAGCAGTTCTAATCCTAAAACTTCATATTAGAAGTTGAACTTTTAAAATACTTCATTTCTGTGTTCTAGGGCCTAGTTGTTACCCTTAGGGCTTCTCTTGCCATTCATTTGATTCTTTTATTTATGTTTTTTAGTAAACTCTACTCCTTTTCAGTTCTTTTTTTAGAGGGAGCATTTTGAGTACCTTTTCTTCCTTTGAATTGAAACTTGACAGAAACTTTATGTCATACAAATTGAGAAAAATTATTTTCAAAGTCCATTGAAGACATGAGTGTTTTGTTTTTGAGTTGTATCTTAACTCTCATCTTCTTTCTCTCTTCCAAGATAAATTTTTGTAATTTTATCAATGAAGGTGACTTTTTGCCTTAAATAAAAGTAAAAAGTTTGAAGTTATAAAGGAAAGTGCTAAGATTATTTGTTAATACAATCTCTAATTCTAAATATTAACAATAAACTAACTTAATTAAAATTTATATAAACCTTTTAAATAACAATAGAATATTTATAAGTCCACAGATTTTGTAAAACTGTGTTATATAGAATTCTTTTAAAAGAATTTGGTATTTGATAACTTTAACAATGATCAGTGTACATGTATTCCTAAGCTGATGTTTACTGTGCCTTTTTTCCCTTTTTTGCTTATTTGAATCCCTAAATTATTATTTTTTTTTCTGTTTTCACAGTCACAAACTCGCAGAACCCCAAGTCTTTCAAGTCTCAATTCCCAGGATTCCAGTATTGAAATTTCAAAGCTTACCGATAAGGTGCAGGCCGAGTATAGAGATGCCTATAGGGAGTACATTGCTCAGATGTCCCAGTTAGAAGGGGGGACAGGGTCCGCGACCATCAGTGGCAGGTCCTCCCCACACAGCACATACTGTATGGGTCAGAGCTCGTCGGGGGGCTCTATCCATTCTAGCCTAGAGCCCGAGAAAGGGAAGGAGAGCGAGCCCAAGCAGGATGATGGGCGGAAGTCATTTTTAATGAAGAGGGCAGATGTGATAGATTACTCATCGTCAGGGGTTTCCACTAACGATGCCTCACCTCTGGATCCGATCACCGAAGAGGATGAGAAATCTGACCAGTCAGGCAGTAAGCTTCTCCCAGGCAAGAAGTCCTTAGAAAGGTCCAGTCTGTTTCAGACAGACTTAAAGCTTAAGGGGAGTGGACTGCGCTATCAGAAACTTCCAAGTGACGAGGATGAGTCTGGCACGGAGGAGTCAGATAACACTCCCCTGCTCAAAGATGACAAAGATAAAAAAGCTGAAGGGAAGGCAGAGAGAGTGTCGAAGTCTCCGGAACACAGCGCCGAGCCGATTAGAACCTTCATCAAAGCGAAGGAGTATCTGTCAGACGCCCTCCTGGACAAGAAGGATTCGTCAGATTCTGGGGTGAGGTCTAACGAGAGTTCTCCTAACCACTCTCTTCACAACGAAGCGGCCGACGATGCCCAGCTTGAGAAGGCGAATCTCATAGAGCTTGAAGATGACAGCCACAGCGGAAAACGGGGCATACCGCATAGCCTGAGTGGCCTCCAAGATCCCATCGTCGCTCGCATGTCCATCTGCTCAGAAGACAAGAAGAGCCCTTCCGAGTGTAGCCTGATCGCCAGCAGTCCTGAGGAGAGCTGGCCTGCGTGCCAGAAGGCCTACAACCTGAACCGCACCCCCAGCACGGCCACGCTCAACAACAACAGTGCCCCAGCCAACCGGGCCAATCGGAATTGCGACGAAACCGAGGGGATCAGGGAATCTTCTCAAGTCATTCTGAGGTCTGGCTCCAGTTCCAACCCAACGGCTCTTCAGAATGAAAATCTAAAAAGCATGGCGCATAAGCGAAGCCAACGTTCCAGTTACACGAGGCTCTCCAAAGAGTCCTCGGAGCTCCATGCAGTAGCTTCTTCTGATAGTGCGGGTTTTGGAGAAGAAAGAGAAAGCATTCTTTAAGAAAAGCCAGCTAAAGTAGAGTAGATTGCTGTGCCCCGGCGACCGGGCAGGCCCGCGTGCACGTCGCGGGATTTCCCTCCATGATCATGGGTGACAGGGCCTTTGCAGAGACACAGACCCTGCCACAGAAGGACGCCTAGGGGCTGGCGGTCCCCAGGGAGCAGCCCCTTTGCCTTTGCAATTAGGAACTTAAAATCTCCCTGTCACAGTCATGCCTCTCATTAACACATAACCCCATAACATCTTTTGAGATAAGACCTGACTGTAAAGATAGGTCAGAAATATTTTACTAAATTTGAAAGGCTTAGTTTGCCAAAGGACAGAAAAGGCTAGGGACCCCTTTCGTAGAACATTCATTCATCAAACAGGTGAGGGAATATGTGGCGGAAGACGAAGCAGAAGCAGGTTTTGCTCTGAAGGGGTTTAATCTCAGTAAGAACGTCCATGTTGTGTGGAGTGTTCCAGAGACTGGAGGCAAAAGCTCAGTGAAGTGAGAACCATGTTCTGCGTGACAGACAAATCGTTCGTCCGTCAGACAGAGGCTCTAAGTTTTAGGTGGGAAATATATAATGAGAGCTTAAAAGTTAACAGGCAGTGAGTCCACAGTGACCGAGGCAGGGTAACGAGGCCACTTTGAGCTGTTGGGAGAGGTCGAGGGAGGGGCCGGCCACTTCTGGGCACACCTCTCTCCAAATCCCAGACCTGGCTTCCGGCACCTGTGCCCCAGAAGCCGCCTGATCTGTTCTGCCGCTGTTCGAAATTATGTGCCAGCTCTTCTGGTGAGCTTAGCGTGAGAGGGAGAAACTGTGGGAGTCTTTTTCTAGAGAATCAGGGAGACGTGGGTAATGATGGGACTAATGTTCACTAATTTATGAAACGAGCGAGGAAGTCATGACATCCGAAAGGTCAGTGCCACTTGACAGACACAGCAACACTTAATCAGGTAAAGCTAAAGCGTGGCCGTCCACACCAGGGCACAGTTGACCTGCTTCCTCTCGTAGACCAGCCGGCCAGTTCTGGGGGAGGAGCGCAAGAGAGAAAGTAAATACAGAAAGGTTTAAAAACACATAACAAAGCAAACATTAAAAACAAAGATAAAATTGGTGTGAGTATAAAATTTTTCCTTCCCATGAATTGTCAGCAGGGTTGAGAGGGTGATTGCAGTTAAGTGGGGGGCAGATGTGCACTGTCTGGACGTGGCTTGTTTATGGGGCGTCAATTCCGGCAGTGTATCGTAGGTCACAGAGAGGGTTCTAGAGGGTGGGGTCTCAGAGGGTCATTTGCCAAGATGTAGTGCTGCATTTTCCATGTTTATCACTTAATGGATTTTCATTAACGTGCTGATTAAATTATTTATTCGACCAGTCCGCACTAAATAGCTGCTGTTCGTGTTTCATTGCTCTGATATTTAAATATAATCTTGCATTTTCATAAAGTGTTTGTCTTGCATGACTTTAAAAACTGTTTTAAGCAAATAAAAAGCAAGTTGTGACTAGCATTATATATTGAAGTGTTAACATTTTAATATTTATAGTGTTTATTGGTTTGTAAGATTGTATAATTAGTAATCATTTCAGATCACTTGGTTTGTGTTTGGGTGAGTAGCAGCTTAATGTCATTGGATTACATTCTTGTTCCTGTTTGTGAAATTAATACCAGGGTATTAAGTGTACAAATAGATCTAGCAAACAATAAAAAATTGCATGCTATTCTGACTCATGAGCTTTTCATTCACTCCAGTGATGATGATGGACATTTCCATGAAAGATAAAGTGGCCAGTGTGTCTGGCCACACGTCTGAACAGTTTGCTAGACTTTCAGGTGTGTGTACAAGTGGTGCGCTTGGCTGGCTGGCAGCCGTGTGCCGACGCCCCCAGCCAGGCTTCCTGAGAGGACCGGCCCTCAGTCCCAGTGCCTGGACCGGTGCTTTCCTGAGGCATTACGGGCCAGGAGCAGCACAGGGTGCATTTCTGTAGCCGCAGCACTGTGGATCGGTGGAGGACGCCCGAGTAGTAGAGGAACGTTCTGGGAAAGTTTGCGCGTGCAAGCTGTTACCAAAGTCAACAAAGCAGAGGGGTCAATGGGCTACGCCGGCATCCCGGTGTACCTGTGTGTTTCCGGGATAGCTCCTGCGTGTGCAAAACCGCTTCAAGCGGGGTTAAAAGGAACATGGTACTCTCACGTTGCTGGTCCCTCGAATTCTGCCTCACTTAGCCTCATATTTTACAAACTATCTCCCTTCACTTTAAGCCACGGATATTTCTAAACATGGCGTCTGCTTAAGGCAGATCCATGCACCGTGGCCCTGGGCGTTTCCGCAGAAGATAGAAGTGAAGAGGCAGCTGGTGACTGGTCACTGAGTGGGCTCCACAGTGCCAGTGCCCTGCGGGGATTTTAGGACCAGTGCGCCCCGATGCGTGACAGGCTTTCTCAACTGAGCCGACATTTTCTATATTAAAAGGAAAATTTGTCTTCGTGTTAGATTTAACTTATATGACTTTTATATCACCATCGGAATAATTGTAATTGCCTAGCCAAGTAATTTTAGAAATGTATTTGCTAAAATCCTCCTAAGTTGAAAACTTTTTAGGTCATTTGCATGTTATAGTGTCGCTGTAATACATATTTGTAATCATGTTTTTTTTCCTTACAAATACTAACCATTATACAATATTTTTTAAATGAAATTAAGTCCTTTTTCTTCTGGCTAAAATATTACATTTAAAAGGTTTTAAGACCACATACTTTTGGTTATACCAGGAATTCTCAGCCTGCTTAGAAGTGCTCCAGAGTGTCAAAGTCCCTGAATTCCTGCTACTCCTGAGTAAATCAACACGACTCTCAGGAAAAGACACTAGAGGGAGTGCTCCCGTTCATGTTGAATGGGGGAAGGCCTTGAGGGCCCTGAGAGGGGAGGTGTGAGGGGCGACCTTGGCAGACACCTGAGAGGAGCGGGGGTACCTCTGCCCACTTCCCTCCCAGACAGCCTGAGGGAAGACTCCCAGGGCTGCCTTCTTGTTGGGTTGGGATGGACATGAACGGACCTGAGTGAGCTGTGGGGAAACGCTGGCATTTCTACTCCCAGGCCACAGTTCTCCCTCCCCTTCTCTGCCTTAATTATGCAAGTGCATTGAAGACAGAAATGTTTAGGTAACAGCCAGCACTGGATGGGTTTTCCATGGCTTATTGCAGAGGTTGAGAATCCCTGGTTGAGATTGGTAAAATAGAGAATTTTAAATCTTACATAATTTTAAACCCTTTCATGCCTAGGAAGAAAATGCTGCCCTTGAGATAGATAGATCTTCAGAGGATCCAGTTTAAGGTATGTAAAATATTAGTTTTCAGAGTCAACCAGTGTTCAGCCAGCTGGTGGAAAATGGTTCTCATGAGTGAGACAAGTTACATTCTGACCACTTTGCCAAGTGTAGTTAAGAACGAAACATCTAACATGATGCTGAAAGTTAACTGCTGTCACCAATACCATCAGAGCTCTTCAGGTACATGAGTAAGGCCTGGCCTTGGCCAATGGGCCCACGTGGTGGGGGAGCAATCTCAGGACCGAGGCGCCCTGGGGCTTGGAGCAGAAACCCTTGAATGGGGCCAAGGTGGCTGTTGCATTAATGCTATCCTGAATTCCCAGTACAAGGAGGTATTTGGGAAAGCAAAGAATTTTAAGAATAGGGACCAGCAGATGGTATAATAGTTATGTCGCTGGACTCCCATATAGTTGATCCTAGTTTAAGTCTCAGATCCGGCGGCTTAAAATTCACACTGGGCACATGTGCATGAGTGCCCAAAATCCCAAGAGGAGAATGGAGAAGGGATTGCGATGTGTCCATCGCCCCTGAGGGGTGATTTTTTGCTTTCTGTCTCTTGTTTGTCTATCTGTCTGGCGAATGCTTGTACCCTGTAGCAAAAATCTCTTTAAAAATTTCTAAGAATAAAAAGGTCAGTCAAAAGGAGGAACAGTTACTTCTAAACTCTTAGTAGGGTGACTTTTTCTAAAATTACTTAATTTTTTAATCTTTTTTTTTTTTCCAAATTTTTTGCAAGGCATGAGTGCTAACCAGAGAGAGAGAGAGAGAAAGGGAAAGTGAGAAAGCAAGTCACTAGGACTCGAACTATGGGTTGCCCTGTGGGAGTACATTGCCTTAACCACCATACCACCTGGTGGCTTCAAGTAGAGTGACTTTTTTTTTTTTAATGTATTCATTTATTTTACATTCATTAATTGAACATCATCACAGCATACATCCAAAATGGGATTTCCCATCCAGAATACACTGCATACTGGCTTAATCATACATATTATTGTCAACAAATAATTTTTATATATATTTAAAATTATACATATATACGTATATATATCACATATAACTACAGTGTATTACATTAAGTGGGCTGACTCTTTAAAGAAGATCAGCCGTTTTTTTTTTTTTTCCCCCTCGGGACCAGCAGGTGGCATGGTGGTTAAGGCATTGGACACTCCCATGTGGCCGACCACAGTTCAAGTCTTGGACCTGGTGGCTTGCCTTCTCACTCTCTCTGGTCAAATTAATAAGATTTAATAATATATAAAATTAAATAAAATAATTCTTTAGAAAGTATAGAATTATATGCCTCATTTATTCAAATTAGGCTGTTTGAAATAATTAAGATAATTTTGCTTATCCACTATCTTTTTCTAATGTTAATGTATTTTATATTTATTTACCTCATTTTCTTTCAAGGCAACAAGTGTTCTAGATCTTAGTACCCCGCCCATAGACCCAAGCGACGATTTTTTCTCATTTCTCCTGACAATTCGGTTAGCGGTGGGTGAAGAAGATGAGACCCACCGTTCGGGAGGCCTGCCGTCCGGCTGGGTGCAGGAGAGACCTGTTCCGTACACGCATGTGCACGCTCAGTGGTTGTAAAGTATAAATTAGTTTTAGTGAAGTAAGTGTTCCCCCTATGAAATTGTAGGTAAAAACTGGAATGTATGGCTACAAGCATGTGAGTGACCTCTTCGTACCTGACCCCACGTAGGTCACGGCATCTCCTTGGCCAGATTCTAGTGAGAGGTTAGAATGTTCCTTCCCGAATTACCGCAGTCCTGACCCTTGCACTTCTTAGCTGTGTGGGGCAATTTGCAGCCTGCATGTTGTTATACTTACTGTAAATTAAACCTTTTATTTGGAAAAAAAAAAAATTCTTTTTGAGTTCTTTGTGGTTTTCTCCCTCAATATGTTATCTGGGTTCTTTTCACCCCTTTTGTGTCTTAAACTTTTGGGGGGTTGTTGTGTGCTCACCCTATTTACCATAAAGCATTCCTTACAGATAGACTGGGAAGGGACTCGAAGACCTCGTTCAGACCAGATCCAGGCTTCAGGGAGCCAGTGGACAGTCAGAACCCCTGCTAAGTACGTGTGTACAGAATGCCTCTATGGGAGCAGCCCTGTAAGGCAGGGTCCACGGGTCCTCCACCTCCCCATGTCTCCTCAGGGCTGAAGCCGAGCACCTTCACACCTCTGCGCTGTGTGGCTCCTCCCAGGCCCACCGTCCCTGTCACCTTATACCCCAGCACCTGCCTGACACCCGAAGCTTTTCTGTTGGTCATGCGGGGACTTCCAAGGCAGCATGCACGCCTTGTTAAAAGCTCCAGGGTAGGACCAGCACATGGCGTGATGGTCACATTGCTGGGTTCCCACGTAGTGGGTGACCGTGGTTCTGATGCCAGACCTGGCAGCTTAAAACTCATACCGGATGCGAGTGCGTGCCCCAAATCCTGAGAGAATGGAGAACGGGTTGTGGCATGACTGTGCTTCCTAGGGGGCAATTTCTCACTTTCTGTTTCTGTGTCTCTCCCTGGTGAGCGCATGCACTCTATTGCAAACGTCTCTCACTAAAAAGAGAAAAATAAAAAGCTCCAAGAGCTGGTCTCCACAGCAGTCCTGATACGCTCCCACGGCTTCCGTGCTAGGCTGTGGGCTCCGACAGGTGTATTTTTGAATCCTCTTATGTGCCTTCAGCGTTTTTTTTTTTTTTTTTGTGGACTTTATGGAGATGCCCTTTTTATAAATTAATATAATCTAGAATCAAATTAAAATGGTTCAGTTCTAGATTTTACTTTGAAATACTGAAGATATTTTCAGGTCTAACTTAACTATGGTGAGTATGGTTTCTCTGAGTCCCAAATTGGGATATGTCATTTGGGGTAGTCAATTTCAGGACCATTGCAGGAAGTCTGAAGTGAAGGTTTTGCCCCATGTATGGTTCAGTTTTCCAACTTTTTTTTTTTTTTTTAAGGTTTTTACCAGAGGGCACATGTACTCGCCAGAGAGAAACGGAGAGAGGAAAAGTGAGAAATCACCCTGCAGGGTGGAGGACACACTGCAGTCCCTTCTCCATTCTGATATTCTGGGCATGCACACATGGGATTCGCAAGCTGCCAGGTTCAGTACTCGAACTGCCATTGGCTACATGGGAGTCCAGCACCTTAACCACACATGCCACCTGTTGGCCTCCAACCTTTCGTTTTTTTGTTGTTGTTGTTGTTGTTTTTAGAATTAATTAATTAATTTCACATGAGTTTTGCAAGAGAAAAACAGAGTTAGAAAGCAAGCCGCCGGGTCTGGGACTCAAACCATGGTCGCACATGGGAATTCCAGCACCTTAACCACCACGCCACCTGCTGGCCCCCCAACTTTTCATTTTAAAGATTGTTTTC